CGCCATCTCTGATGCTGTAAAACATAACTGTTGATTAAAAAAAAAAACACACAAAAAACCTGTTGATAGTGCAACATTACATCGTTTATTGCAGCGAATATTTTCCAAAACTTCAACACTGAGAACAAATACAAGTGCACAAGAGAAAAGACTGTGATGTTTGACGTAATAAGCGAGACAACAATCGTGGTGAGTTTCAGCCCTTAGGATCTCAACATTCCATTTTGTTTTCACATAAAAAAGTCCAGATTCGGGTCAAAGTTATGGAATTTGAGTTGTAAGCATTTTTAGCTACCTCAGCCTCTCCTAAAACTAGTTCATCGCGTAAGAACCACTAATAATCCTTATTTGTTCCCCCTACCGGGCTTGTTTGTCACCACCATTTCCTCATAAAGTTAATATTTTGTTTTCTTTATCGGCTGTTTTCTCAAAACCTTATGTTTCTCAATACTTTTTGGAATAACTCCACCATTTTAAAAATCCAATCTTCATGAAACTTTTTACAGAATAAAGCAAAGAGGCAATACTAAAACTTTGTGGGTTGAATTTTTAAAATATGGAATTAATTTGTGTTGGTGGTGTCTGGAGTGTGGCTGTTCACGGATTTTTTGCAAACTTCAATACTACCTCAGGAAAAATGTCATAAAACATTTTCTAATACGTTAAAGAAAAACTGAACGGAGGAATTGTTAGATATATTGTTTGTTAACATGTATGCAAAAAAGCAAACAAGTTCAAAGACCGATAAGTGCGGTATTCATTACGTAAGGCATGTCAACAAAATCCAATATGGCCACTGTATCCAGGGAAACGATATTTTATTTCTCAAATTTGATTTCGGATTTTAAGACTCCTTACTATACTTGTTATATGTGTGAAATATGGTAAAATTTGGTACTCTAATATGTGTGATATCCTTCAGGTGTAGCTGCCCCCCCCCCCTAAATCATTTCAGTTAAAGGTTTCCAACTAAAATAAGCCTCTTCGAGGATCAAAGTAAACAAACACAAAGAGTAATCTTTGTAATTCTAAAACATTGTTGACTATCTGTTTACAACGTACAATCTATTGAAAAAATAGAAATAACAAACGTGTGAAGATACAAACAAGTCTCTCTGGGGTTTCAAGGTAAACACACAAAAATAGTTATTGTAAATCTAATGCTTTCTTAAAACAGTCTTGGCGATCTTTTCGCACTACACAATCTACTAAGGAATTCTAGGGATTATCTTAATAATAATAATAATGCCTAACATATTTTGTGTACCGCAAATTCCCCTCAACAGCTAGCTCTCTACGCTTTACAATCTGTTACTCCAGCAGACCTACACCACTAGACTATGGACGCCACCGGTTTTTTTGCTTTTTTTAAATAGTTAGGTCCGACAATGCGAGTGACTAGAAAACAATGACACCAGGCGACCTCCCATCTCCTTTAATCAACTTCTATCCGAGACACGTTTTTTTTTCCATTAATGTTAAAAGCAAGGTAAATAATCAAGCTTTGATCTAATACCAATATCAGAATCTGCTCCCAGTATCAAAAATTGACGATTCCCTGATTCTATCGTGTCGTGACACAAATTGATATTTTTACAATCTTGATTTTCAGATATTTGGCTAAGATACACTTATCTGATTGATGGTGCAAATTTAAGAAGATTGTTACTGGACTTTGTCTTTGAGATATATACTTACTTTGCCTAGTGGTTAGGTGACCATACACGTAGCTGTAAGATTACTGGATCGGGGGTACGAGCTTCAGCACGGCCCGACATAGTGTGATTGGGAAAGACACTTTACACAAAATTCCTATTTGGCTCGGCCCTTTCGGGAATGTTCGTTAAACTCGGGGATCCGACCTCTTAAATAACATATTAGTTTTGATAAGGGCTTTAAACCATTTCCCGTTTTTCATGTATCTTTTGTTGCGTTTCCACAGGCACGTCCTGAACTTGGAAACCTGAACATCTTTGGCTCTTTTAAGATCACAGAACCAAATTCTGCTTTTGGTGACTTTTCCAGGTAGGAGTGCTATGCGAAGTAGAGTCCAGAGCTTATGAGTGGGTGGTTGGTGGGTACTCTGGTTTGGTTTAAGCTCCTTCTCACCTATGAAACATCTATCGCTCGTTAATGTTTCTACTTCTTTTCTTTGTAAGTTATTCTCTAATAAGACCTCTAATTTTCGTCTCTTATATTACGATGTATTTGTATTGCAATAGACGTAAAACTCTTACGAAAAATATGAATTTATGAATCCCTTTAATAGTACCTAGCTAAATGGATTAAGAGTTTTGTAACATTGTAATAGCAATTGTTTTTGAAATTATTTTCACACAACCTTCAATGGTTTAAGAGGCTGCTTCGACCCTGCTGGTCAGGGCCAAGCCAGGCTTAAAAGGATACAAAACCGTCCGCCACACAGGAATTGAACTCACGTTCTCTGCAAGCGACATTTATTCGCTTGACTGCTACATCACAGATGATGGTGATGAGGATGGTGATGGTGATGATAATGATGATGATGATGATGACGTAGTCTAAACAGCCGTATGCACTGCTCACCGTCGAACGCTCCGTATCCCGGACTCTAGCATGGAGATCATCAGGAGAGAATGCGTCGCTGTTTCGGGCTCTTCCTCTCTACAGCTTTTCTGACGCACCGAGCCCCCTCACCGATGTGGGGTCTCCATGTTAGTTCGACTGTTTTCCTCTGCTGCCAACTTTAGGATTCATTCCAGCTTGAGTCCTCTCGCTTCAACCAGATCCAATGACTGGCTTTCTCTGCTGTCTCCTGAAGGGAGTTTGTGAGTTCGTTGCTTTTCTTTGCAGTAAGTCCTGTCACTCTCATCCACTTACGGGCGCTTGTTGCTACAAAACCTCTGCATCCTACCTCTACCGGAAAATGGGTTGCCTTCCATCCTGCCTCCTCACATTGTTCGACGAGTGCCTCGTAACGGTTTTCTTTCCGCTCATGAGCGGCATAGATATTGTCCTCGTGGGGCACCGTGAGCTCTACCAAGTGTACCTCTTTGTCTTTTTCCTCCCATAACACAATGTCTGGCTTTTTCGTAGTTGGAATGGGGAAGAATCTCTCAAAGCCTTTTAAGTCAGCAGCTACTTCCCATGTGCCTCCGCTCTGGTCTTTCATGGCTTCGTTCGTTTTCTTTCTTTTGGCAACCTTGCTTCCTTGCGGAACGAACGCAATCTTGGTGGGTCCATGCTTCTGTATCTTGGGGGCATATTTTCCTTCTTCCACCTGTTGTGTCGCCATTTTCGTGAGCACTTTCAACACCTCGTTGTGTCTCCAGGTGTATCTGTTAAGAGCTAGGTTGCAGTTTGACAAAATATGCTTCATGGTTCCTAGCTTACCGCATCTACACTTGTTGTCCTCCTGTACCTTCCATCTGACAAGGTTCACCGGTGAAGGCAGAACATCATACGTAGACCGGAGAAGAAAGCTCAGCCTTGATGTATTCCACTTCCAGATGTCACTCCACCCGACTTTTCTTTCCACAACATGCTCTTCCCATCTGGTCATTTGTCCTTGCTGGCTACACTGGATGAGATGAATTTCTCGCCTCTCTGCCTCCATCTTTTGCATATGTCTTGTTGCAGCTTTTCTTCTGTCTCGCTGAGACATTTTCCTGAAAGGTCTAAAGTCGCCATTACCTAGCCCTAATCTGTTAGGTTGCGCTGGACCGACAATGTCCCCATGCTCCAATGCAGAGATGATCTCGTTAGCTGCAACTTCTGCCTTCCACTTTCTGGCTGTTTTGACATCTGGAGGTTTTCCACTGATCTCCTTATCCCTTGATTCTCTCAACATCAAAACGGTTCTAATCTTGCCTGCTTTGTAGATCTCCACAATTGACGTGAGAGGTAGTTGAAGCGCACCTCTATGTCTGTACAGGGATGACGTGTTAATGGTACGGGGTAGCCCCAGCCACTTCCTGATGTAGCTGTTACACTTTCTTTCGATCATCCCAACTCTTGACAAAGCAACTTCATACATTGTCAGTGGCCACGCCAATCGAGGGTAGAGGGCAAACTGTAGACACCATATCTTGTGCTTTCCTGGAAGCTTTGTCTGGTCAATTGCTTTCAGCCCATTTTCAGCCTGCTTCATGATTTCCACGCCTTGACTCCTATCAGACAGAGTTCCTGAGTACCACCGACCCAAACTTTTCACGGGTTGTTCTTTTACTGTGGGCATTTGCTCCCCTGCAATTGTGAACTTCAGTTGCTTCTGTTTTCCTTTGTTAATAGTCAGGCTTCTAGACTTTTTAGCTTTAAACTTCATCCTGGCCCAGGTGATAAGCTTATCGAGCCGATTCAACACACTTTGCATTGTGTCTCCATCTCTTGTCAGTAGGGTCACATCATTATGATTATGAAGATGATGATGATTATGATAATGATGATGATGGGCATTAGAGATTTCGGTAGATGTAAGCTTAATAATGAAAAGTGTAGAGAAGAAGAAGAAGAAGAAGAAGAAGAAGAAGAAGAAGAAGAAGAAGAAGAAGAAAGAAAAAAAAGAAAAAAAAGAAGACGCCTACTGCAGACAGGGACATATTAAGTTTGATAGTGACGACAGATGTGTATTCCAGCATTGCCCGTGCCGAGAAGCCTTTGGTCATCTACCTGGACAAATCGGACCAAACTCTCTACCTGAGTTTCTCTGCAAATGTGACACATGAAGACCACTGCAGCAGCACCTTTATTGTCAAGGCCGTGGACTCAAACGCCATGAGGAAGACAGGTAACTTGCGTCTCTGGCGAACTGATTAGGCCCCCGACATCGATTTGGGTTTTTTTCTTTGCTACTTGTGGAACTGTTAGAAAATCAGATTAGAATATTTTCTTAAAATATACAATGACACACTTGAAGAGTTTGAATTTGCAATTGAACATGCAAGGGAAGAACAAGAGTTGCTTAAAAAAATTAATTAGGTCGTGACGTGGGTTGGAAAGTGTTTGCACACCTCTTCTGACCCATTTAAGTGTCATCATTTAAGGACTATAACCTTTAATGAGTACCCAATACCATTCCTGGAACATAAGCTACACTATGGAAAAGGGTGGGCTGTCAAGCATTTCATTTTAGTTGTTTTCGAAGTGCCCCACAAAAAGGGACGTTCCTTGTTTTTTCTTTGTGATCTTCATTTAATTTTGTTCTTTCAAACTCTGTCCACGTTATTGTTCTGGTTACTGCTGCCGTTGGTGTTATTGTAGTGTCCTATTGCTTGCATGCAGCGTCGTTGTTGGTGTTGTTAGTTCTAAGGCAACTATTGTTGTTTTCTTCAACTGTGTGTGTGTGTGTGTGTGTGTGTGTGTGTGTGTGTGTGTGTGTGTGTGCTTGTGTATGTGAGTATGTGTGTGAGTGTGTGTGTGAGTGTGTGTGTGTGTGTGTGTGTGTGTGTGTGTGTGTGTGTGTGTGTGTGTGTGTGTGTTTCTGTGTGTGTGTTTCTGTGTGTGAGTGTGTTTACTCTACCGCAGATATTTTTTTGGAGACAAATAAGATGCGGTATTTAAAAAAATAATAATCATACTACAAATACATTGTTTGTTCAAGCAGCTGCTTCAACTGTGTGCATCACAGACGGCCACACACGGAAGTGTACTGATATTGACTATGTGAAAAGTGGAGACTATCAAAAAGTCATTGGTAAGTTTTTCGTTTACAGTGATATACTTTTCTTGAAGACGCACAACACGCTGGGATCAGACGCTAGTCAATTGTCCATTTTTGAGGATATGGAGGTTCGGTATAATCTTTAAACGTATTTACTTGTCTTGCTTTTGATGAAATACCTATCTCTATCTTAAATTGAAGTAGAGATATTTGCGATCGAAGGAGGTTGGAATCACTAATTGACGTCTGAAGCAAAATTGGTGACAAAATGGCTGCCAAAGTTTGGTGACTTCCAAAGCCTGAGTGTCCTTAGAATCTACAAATTTACATTTTATGGTGCTTCTGAACAACGTTTTTCAAATGAAATCCAACAGAAATGTGTTTTTAAATGGATATCAAAGGTGTTGAGCCCCCCCCCCCCCCCCCAACCATCCCATCTCCTTTAACAAGTTTGAAGAATCGATAAAAATTCCCAACTGCCGGAAAGAAGATGCTTTTTCATTTAATTATTTTTATGAGCGCCTGATTTGACCACAATACTACACATAATATCTTCCCAGCACCTTCATCGAGCAGCGCCACACGAGCCTGTGTAGAGGGTCTCGTTGGCTACCAGCCTCACCCAAACACAACCACCAAGTACGTGTACTGTGTATCCAAGACCGAGGCTTATGTAGTCACCTGCCCGAACGGCTTTGCTTACCTGTCCTCACAGCAGGTAATGTTTGTGAAATTGCATGGATCAACGTTTTATTTTAACGCACCTTGTAATACTTTAAGGTTTTTGAAGAGGCGAGATCTTCAAGGTTAATGCCCGTCTCCGAAATGACTAAGCCAAATAGGACATTCGTGTAAAGTGTCTTTCCCAAGGACACAACGTCGGACAGAGCTGACGCTTAAACCCCTGAACTTGTAATCTCTTGATTACAGGTCGGTAGCCTAACCTCACGGCTACCGACCCCACAGGTAATACTAAATTCATGAAAAAGTGTATATGTACAACCTGTAATGTTTTGTTGTGGAAACTCTGTTTAACGACACTAAACATTTTTCTTAAAAAGCTACATTTAAAATGTATATTGTTTAATGGAAGTATCTAATGTGATAATTTAATGAGTACGCTTGTGTGACGTAGGCCAATTCCCTTAAGGGGACACATCTGTCCCACCGGCTGCAGCTCTAAGTAAATGTTTTGGCACATTTCGAATCAGCATGCACAAATCACAAACACTAATTTTCTTAGTTCATAATAAGCATGTTGTTACTGATCTTCTTAAGTTTCGGAAAATGAAAACAGAATAGTCAAAATTCTGCATGAAAATACGACGTCATGCTCTTTTTTGAAAATGCCCTCAAAACTTTTCGTCTGCAAGCGTTGCTGATGATGCGTCGCCAAAGAGACTAAAACCTTTATTTATCAACCTCAAAACAGGACTGTGTCGTGCCGGCCTCCATGGACAATGACACCGTGTGCAGAGTGTGTAGCTCCGAGAATTGGCTTCTGGGACTCAGGAACTTCCCAGTGGCAGCCAAGAGCAGACTATACGTGAACTGTACCGCTGTGGAGACCTGCGTCATCAAGGATTGTGGTGACAACTTACAGTACTATCCCGTACGTAGAAATAGGGGTTGGGGGGTGTTTTCATAATTTCTTCACTGCTAATTAGATAATATATGAACTTGGGTTTTTTTGGTTACACACAGTTTCTCTGAAATTTTCCGACTGGTTTATAGTGAAGATTTTAGGAAAAGTAATGACGGCTTGTGTTGTTGTCTATTCTTAGGTAAAGAAATTGAGCTGTTTTTAAAAATATTTTTAGACAAAGGCATAGATGTTGTGGCCCTTTTTAAATCTCTTTTTTTTAGAAGACCTTGTCTTGTACGTGCAATTTTGATGGAAGCATCTCAGCATGAATGAAAGTGTAAAAATCGGTGTTTTAACGCCTCCCCCATCCCTTCAAATTTAATTTAAATTAAATAGGCAGCGGTTTTTAACCCTGCCTCTGCCTGTCAGGGCCAAACCAGACTGAGAGGGATACAACATCTCAGCAGGAAGACCAAAATACCCGATTGAAGTCCATTTGGAAAACAAATGAACGGTTTACTTTTTAATTACTTAAATCATCCCTTAGTCTTAGGTGACTGTTTGGGCACCAATGATGTTCGGGCAACCACTTTTCTCCACCCTCTCTATTATTTTCAGCCTGTCGAAGGGCGCTTCACCCAACTTTAAACCTGTTCATTCTGTTAAATTGAATTCCCATCTCTTTTTCTGTCTGCCTTTCCTTCTCCCTACTTGTAAAATGCCTTGTAGGATCATCTTTGATGTCCTGATGATCTTGGTGTGTTCATACCCTATCAATTTGCCTTTCGTCAGTGGTGATAGGATCTTCATAGGGCCCAACTGTATGCCTAATCTTGTCCCTCTCTTCCTCATTTGCAACTCGATCTCTTTTGGAGATTTCCAACAGTCTTTAAAAGCATCTCATTCCTGTAGCTAGTTTTTTTCTCCTAACTGTGCTGTGAGGTTCCATGTCTCATAAGCACGCAGGGAGATTGAAATGATCAAGGAGTGCATCACTCTGATTTTAGATCTGAGTGCAATGTAAATATGCAAGGTGAAATAATTTGTCCATGAGTGAAACGAAGGGTAGCCTAAGGAGAGAATGATTATTGGGTGCGCACTCGACTGCTGCGAGACTGGTGTTTTCCCTTCATTTCGGCGCCCATGGTGCGCACTCTTCGCAGCGAAGTGTGTAAAAAGCAAAGTCTCATCTATTATCAATTTGTGGTGGCCGAATTTTGCTGTTCAAAAGGCTTTTTAATGGCAGCATCGATCGACATGCGGTTTTCGAAAAAAGATTCTTTAAAATATTCTCCTGATCATGACGCCCTTTTTTCAGTTTTGCTGCAAAAGGCTAATTTTTTTTTATTTTGCCGCTCGCTTTTGTAGGCCGACGCTTCTGTCTCTGTAATTTTAGAAAACCTGCCAGGTTTATTTTTTTCAAAGTCGTATTTCCGTTCGATACTATCGCGCATTGTCGTGCAATACTGAGCACTATTTTAAGTGTGCGACAGGTATAGATCTAGAATCTAGATGTAGATCTAACCTCATGTTTTCTTTTTTTACTTGGTGCTAAATTCGACGGTGATCCTTTCGTTTGATGCTCATCATCTCTTTTTCTTGACTCTTTAGTTAAATTCTTTTTCTTGCTACTGGGAACAACACGCTTCTGTACAACCACGAAAGCGGAATAGAGAATCAATCTAAGCATCTATTTATGTTTGGCAACTTGGAAACACATGTGTCACTTTTCTCTCAAGATTTATTGCTCTATTCCAGGAGAGTGTAAATATAGTAGACCAATGATCTGCAGTTGATGTTAATGCACAGATCATTCCTTTCATCGAAAGGGGGCCCAGCTAGTAGTATGCTATGTAGATACACGCTCAAGATTCTTATCTTAACTTTTAAGAACCAACAATGAATTGTGACCTCAATACTCCATTTCAGAACGACCAGAAGTGCGCAGAAGCCTCGCTTGGTAAGTGTGCTACAATACTTAAGTCGATTGGGATTGTTAATACGAAACATTACAATAGTATTATAACCCAATTTATCTTCTTTTTTTTACAGCTGACACTAAAGCATGAGTTAGAAGTCTATTAGTATTACACGAAAATCATTCGATTAAAAAAGACGCCATACCAGACATTGCTCACTCTTTCAGGATCACAACTCAACTTGATTTTTTAAAAGCAAATACGGAATCCCCTATATTAGGAGTGGCGAGGGTAATGGTGGTGTGGTGGGGGTGAGTGAGGAGTTGATGGGAAAGGGAGTATACTCTTTTAGTATACGACACTGTAGTTCAGCTGGCTCATACTCGTAACATCTCTCGGTTACTTGGATCATTCGTTTCTTCTCAGTTTGTCGCAAACAGGTCAAACAGACGAGGAGTTTTAGGGAAGTTTGTGATGCTAAAATCATGGGTGACCTAACTGACTGCGTACAAAGTAGGAATAACCTTCGGTATACAAAAGGGTAACTTTTGAGGCCTATCTTTTTTGAGAGGGGGGGGGGGGTGATTTAAAGGTCTTGTTTGTTGACGCAGTTTTTTCTCTCCATCTTCCCACAGGATCGTCTACTTGGTCCCTGCATAGGTCGCAGGCATACATAGTTGTGGTCTTGGTTTTGCTGTTTCTGAGAAAATTAATTTGCTGAAATGTTTGTTTCGGTTTCAGAGCTCATTTCTGTAATTTGTATTTTTTCCATACTTCTTGCTGCAAAATAAAACTTATCTGAGCACAATGAAAACTATTGCCGAAATGATTTACTACCACCTATATCTACTGCATTCAATGATGCAACTCATCTCTTCGATATTTTATGTCAAGTGAACCTTTACGTGGATCTACAGCTGTGGGTTTGAGAGGAAAATAGATATGCAGGTACTTTAAAAAAACACCAAAAAACCCCAAAATAATAATAATAATCATCATCATAATCATGAACATAATCATAATCATAATCACAATAATATAAAACATTTATATAGCGCATTTCCAAAAAAAAGCAGCTCAATGTGCTTTACATTGCATTGGAATACCCATTTTCAAAATCTTACTTACTACTTCCTTTCTTCTCATGCAATATATATTTATGAACACACACACACACACACACACACACACACACACACACACACACACACACACACACACACACACACACACACACACATATATATACATACACACACACACGCGCGCGCGCGCGTGCGGACTATTGTCATTCAGACGCAGGCACAGAACAACTATAATAAAATGAACGACAGCAGAACATGATTAAGATGTCTTTTGATGGCATCAAGTGTTTTTGTTTGTCTTACTTCTTGTTCTATGGCTAATTTTGAGACTATGTTTATCTCATTTGTAGATACAAGTCATTCCACGCACGAGATCAACTTTGGCGACAATAATAGGTTTCAGAAGAACGCGTGCCTATATCTTTCGAGCATTTCTATCTTTTTTTTTTAACTTCTTGAATTATGAAATTAAAATCCCTAAGGCTTTTTAAAAAAAAGTTTTTGAAGCTACACTACAGTGCTCATCATTCCACACAATTTGCATCCTGGTGTGTCCTTGAGATGTACTGATTTGTTTCTCGATTTTTTTTCCGAACCTGTTGTATTCGTTGAGTACACTTGTCAAAGTGCATACCGGTATTGAACGGGCTCATTTTTTTCGAAAACTTTTTCTGATCACTTTATCAATCCTGCTTCCTAAATAATCTAAATGTGGGGTTTTTTGGTACGTGTTTTACGGTCGCAACTGCATAAGGTCATATGTGGGCGCGGGACATACCAAACTTTTTCAATTGGAAGGACATTTTGAATTTTAGCCATGGTGGCAGCTGAAGCCAACTCTTATGATTTTGAACCACTAAGAGATCTTTAACGTGAATAGCTAGCACACGGGACCTCTGAGATTTTTTGCCCTTATCCGAGAATGCTAGGTGTAGATCTTTCTTACCAAAAGATCAGTGGTGTGGCTGAAAGACAGCAGTAAAAAGGAGCCAAGGAGTAGCAATAGAAAGGCTGCAGAAAGAGTCAGAAGTCCAGTGGAGCGGGCAAAGGAAGTGAGGGGGTGGGGGAGAAAGTGGAGACGAAAGCAGACGACAGAATATTGCAAGAGAGAAGGAAAGAAGGGAAAAGGAGACAATTTTGGAGAAGAAAATTTTTCTGTCCTTATCCGGATTCGAACCTGGGACCTTTGAATGAGAGGCGAACACCTTAACCTCTAGGCCACGAGAGCCCCCTAAAATGAGTCAATGGGGGCGTAAAATTAGATAAAGGCACTTTACACAAAGAATGTCCTTTTTGGCTTGGTCTTTTCGGAGATAGACGTTTACCCCCGAAGGCTCCGCTTCTGCTCTAGCTTAAACTGTGTAGATAGAAGCTATAAAGCTACTCAAACAATTTCACATTTTACAATTCTTTCTATGTGGAAATAATGTTTCATCTGAAATTATTTGTCAAAAATTACCAGTATTTAAACAAAAAAAATTTTTTCTATTATTGCTGAGACATTTTTACAGGATTTCTTGAATAACCCTGCCTAAGTGTCTTTCTGAAAAAAACATTTCTATTTTTAAAAAAATGTTTGTACATACTAGTGATCTTTTATCCTCGCCGGGTTATCTTTTATGTTGTCACATTTTTGTGAATGTACATCTTGTAATCTTCTATCAAAGACCTGTTACCGTATATTTATGTTGTTTTCTTACATTTTTTTCTGGTGGGTGGTTGGCGGGTGCTCTGGTGTGGTTTGCTTATACTTTCTTGTGTGACGTCTGCCATCCATATCTCTCCACCTTTTTCCTTTGTATGTTACATTGTTACTATCTAGTAACACCAATAATAATCGTGGGCTTCTATATTACCTTATTATGTTGCAAGTGCCATAAATCTTTTAATAAAACTTAACCAAAATGTTTGTATCTGTGCATGAAACTTTTTTTCACTGAAGTGCTACCCACCTGTCCCTTGTTTTGCAGTTTTTTCTGTCGTTGTTGTGGTTGGTGGTGTTGTGGTGATGTTTGGTGGTTGTGTTGGAAATGGTGGCGGTAATGAAGGAAGTGGTGAACGTTGTGAGAGCCGTGGGTGTGATTATATTGCCATTGTCGTCACTCAGAGGCAAAGCGTCTATATAATCAAATAATCACTGCTTCCCTCCCTAATTTTGAAACATTGTCGCAGTCAAATTCACCCATAGACGTAAACCTCATAAATTAAA